GTAAATATATAGAAAAGGCTTACATATGTGTGTCAATTTTATGATCTCAATTCAATACACTTGTAGCTCAACAGTTCCTATGGCTGTTGAATGGGATTCTCTTTTCGCCAGTTAATGTTAGCACAAGAAAATTGCAGAGACAATTCTTAAGAAGTTTAAGTAACTCTTTGATAACCACTGTTGAGTAGGTGAAAATTTTGTGTGATAGGGTCAAAAAACCGAAAACTTTCTCGTTAGGATAAAAACATGTGCATCTCCATTTGTAATATTGTATTCTGAGTATTACATGTGTGAGGAAAATCTAATAAAAGCAGGGAAGATCCAGAAGAACACAAAGTAATAACCGGAATGGGGAACCACTGAATAACATAATAAGCAGATTGGAACTCTAATTAGTTTATTTGCCTAGTTCACAGCAACCTCAAACTCCTGGGCTCAAGCAATCCTACTGCCTCAGCCTCCCGAGTAGCTGGGACTACAGGCATGCGCCACCATAGATTTAGAACTTAAAAATATTTCGGAGATAAGATTATAAACTCCCAGTAACTATATAAAGAATCTCATCATCTAGTTAAAATTTCAAAAATCTTCCACAAGATTTCTCACAGACAGCTATTTAAAAAATAAATTCAAATTGAAGAGAATGTTCTCTCATGACCAAGTGAAGTAGTGTTTCTTTCTTCAGGTGCAATCCGTGACCACCAGCATCAAAATCACCACGAACACTATAGAGTGCAAATTCTTGGCTATCTCTGCTTACCTACCAAATGTAACTGCCTGGTTGGTTCTCATGCAGACTTGAGGAAAGACACACTAGTTTGTCTGCTAGATAACCCAGGCACTTTCATCAGGCAGGTTAACAAGCTGGCTCAGCAGGGAGGCTGTAGGGCCTCAGGCAGAAACCAGGGTTGATAAGGAAAATTCTCCAGGCAATCGGTGTCAAAAAGCTGGTTTCTTTTTTTTTTTTTTTTGAGACAGAGTCTGGCTCTGTTGCCCAGGCTAGAGGGCCATGGCATCAGCCTAGCTCACAGCAACCTCAAACTCCTGGGCTCAAGGGATCCTCCTGCCTCAACCTCCCAGGTAGCTGGGACTACAGGCACATGCCACCGCGTTCGGCCCTCAGGCTGGTCTTGAAATCCTGACCTCCAGCGATCCTCCTGTGTTGGCCTCCCAGAGTGCTAGGATTACAAGCATGAGCCACCTCCTGGCCTGATTAGTTTAGATATAACAAACAAAAGCAGAGAGGAGGGAAGGCCTTAAGGCTGTAAAACTTAAGTCTGTAAAACTTAAATCATGAAGGCATGAAAAAGGTAAACAGAGTTGTTCACTAACTTCTAAGATCAAAGAATAAGAGGGCATCTCTAAAACTTTATTGAGGCAAGGTTATGCCAATCAGATAATAAATAGACCTCATATCACCCTAAGTAGTGATTTAGTAGGTATTTTACGATTTAAGATAAGCCGATCAGGCCCAATATGATGGCTCACAACTGTAATCCTAGCACTCGGGGAGGCTGAGGCAGGAGGATTGCTTGAGTCCAGGAGTTTTAGGTTGCAGTGAGCTATGATGACACCAATGCACTCTACCCAGAGTGACAGAGGGAGACTCTGTCTCAAAAACAAAAACAAACAAAAAAAGATAAGCCCATGACTGAAAGAGTCCTAGTGAAGTGCAAAGAGTGATACATGCCTAACCTTTGAGATTAATATCTCAGAAGGACAGCCAGGACTTGTACCATTTGTCTGAGGATGCATCCCCTAGAGATAAAATGTTTAGTGGGCCGCACGATTGGCCCAATATGTTGTCAAAGCAAAATAAGAAGAAAGCCATTAGGCTTGGGTTGTTTTTATATCCAGAAACCTTACAAAAATAAACCAAAACTTAACTTACAGGCATTCCTTGTAACTAATTAAATTTATTTATGTATTTATTATTCTTGAGACAAGGTCTTCTCACTCTGTTGCCTGGACTAGAGTGCAGTGGCTTCATCATAGCTCACTACAACCTCAAACTCCTGGGCTCAAGTGATCCTCCTGCCTCAGCCTCTTGACTAGCTGGGACTACAGGTGCATGCCACCATGCCCAGCTAATTTTTCTATTTTCTGTAGAGACGGAGTCTCACTCTTGCTTCAGCTGGTCTCCAACTCCTAGTCTCAAGCAATTCTCCCGCCTTAGCCTCCAAAGTGCTAGGATTACATGGCTGATTAAATTAAAAAAAAAAAAAAGGAAAAGAAAAGAACTAAGCCAAGCTTCAATCACAAAGAGCCAACAAGCAGCTGATCACAAACATCCAGCTAGCTGTTAGTTATATAATTAGGGACTTCCCACCAGGTTATACCCAAATAAGGCAAATGCTGTAGCCAATCAAGTAATTTCTTTACTGCGTTTCTGTGTTCAGTCTATAAAAGCAAACTGCTCACTGCTCACACTGTTAAAGTAGAGCTCTCTGAACTTTTTTCAATTTTCAGTGCTACTTGATTTGTGAATCCTTTAATGCTCAAACTGTTAAATTTATTTTGTCTAAAATCTTTAACAGTGATGATCATGGTTTTAGGAAATAAACAGATAGATAGAAAAGACTAAGCGATTAGTAAAGGAGCCACAGGATACCTGTGATTTAGCTAAAAAAAAAAATTGGAATGAAAATTTGAATATGATGTAAGTTGTATCACATGCATGAAAGCTAAATTTTTTCATAAATTATTAACACGTGATTCACTTCTTGTATTATTGTTTATTATAAACATGCTTTAGTGACCTACAAGACCCTATGTAATCTGTGGACCATTTCCTTCTCACCCCTCTGAGATCAGCTCCTATCGTGGTCCCACTCACTCAGTCTATGCCAGCCAAATGGCCTCATTGCTATTCCTACAGCACGCCCACCTTTTCCTTCTTCACTGCTTTCACCTGTGCTGCTTCCACTACCTGGATGCTCTTCTCCCACATGTATACATGGCTTGTTCCCTCTTGTTACCAAAGGCTCTATAGAAATGTCACTTTTTCAGGGAGCCTTTCCCTGACAACCCCATTAAAAATATCACTGTCTTTGCCCAGTTTTATGTGTGTTCTTAGCACTTAACACTTGACATAGCATATATGTATTTGTTTATTATGTCTCCTCCACTAGAGTGTAAGTCAGCCCTGTGTTGAGCAGGAATTTTATATCTAAAACAATGCCTGGCATAGAACACATGTTCAGTAAGTACTTGTTAAATGAATGGAGGATGAATCAGGTTTTGGACTACTGCTTACTCTAGATGGCATGTGAATTGAAGCTATGGTCAAATACATGCCATGCCTTCTAAACACTTGAGATTCTAGGCACCGTGGGTACTGCTGCTTGGTTTGTTACAACATACGTTTGAAGAAGAACCAGAGTCTACAGTTCAATTCAATAAGCATAGTTTCATCTAGGTAACCCTGCTTCTGTGCCTTAAGAACTCTCATTCCATGAAAATTGAAAAGTCCAAAGCCTGCCCCAAGATTTCTATGAATTACCTGGCAACATTCCTGTTTTTTCTTTTACCACCTTAGCTTAGTTTTGAAATCGTCTTGTCACCTTGTGCCTAGTTTCTGTTTTGCATCTTTTGACCCACAGGCGAGACTTTTCCTTAGTTGTCACAAAAACTCATGCAAATAATTTGGGTTTCAGCAAACTTGACTGAAGTTCTAGGGATGTGGGGGAATTCCACTTATTGGGGGGAATTGTGGCACAGTTACATCAAAGAAACAAAAACAACTTTAGGTGACTATTATACAGCCCTAGTTATTAAAACTTTTCCAGGACCCTACCACCACAGACTTTTTGTCATTGGTTAATTCACTCCTATGGCTTCTCTCTTCCTCTTTCGTCCCACATACTCCTGCCCCTTTTCTCTGATTGTCAGAGCACTTCAAATTCTCCCTTTCTTTGGTTCCTATTCCCAAACTCAGCACTAGATTTTTCTCTGCATACCCAAATTCATCAAGGTGCTCAGCAGGAAAAAAAAAGTTCCTTTCCCAGAACTCACCCTCAAAAGATGGATACAATTTTTTCCTTAGTTATGAAAAATTCACTAAGGCTTTCTATTTAATAATTCCAGTTATTACACTATATTTATTACATGTTACATGTTTTGGGGAAACAAATAGTGTATAACTTAGGTATAAAAGAGCTACAATATTTTTGCATGTATTTCATTGTGATGGAAAGGAAATGAACATTTATCGAAAGACTACTATACGTGAGGCACTGTTTGGCTAGGTGCTTTCATTTGGTCATTATATATTTATTGACCATCCATCTGGCACGCACATTTCATTTAACGCCTTTACTAGACCCCGCCGTCCAGATTTCCTATCCATGAGATACCTGGATTGTCCCTGAGGACTTAGTGACCATGGCCTGTATCTCCATCCAAAGCAACTTTATTTACAGATAATCAGAGCATGTCATCACCTTTCTCTAGAAGAGTACATAAATCAGCTCGCAATAAATTTCAGACTTCTCGTTTTGTTTTTGTAAGATTTGGCCATTAAGTGACGTTAAAAGTTTACATAAAATGCGTTTCAGGATCATGGCTGTTCTTCGATCAGAGGCTTGGCTTGGGAGAATGTTTAGCCAGAATTTGAGGGGATTCAATTCCCTTTTCTAGTTTTTCCTAATTACCAATTTGGGGAGGAAAATACATAGTTCAGAGAAGCAAGAGCAGCCCTGCTTCCTCCGCAGCAAGGCCCAGAACGCGAAGTGACTCCAGTGGGAACAGGCTCCAACCCGGAAATGCGGGACGCAGGGGGTGGGGCAAAAGCGGGCGTACAAACTCGGCCCAGCTCAGGGCAGCCCCGGCCTCACCGCCGCCACCGCCCAGCCAAAACGCCCTCCGCAGTCCTCCCTCGCCCTCCCGCGCGGTCCTCACCGGCAGGGGCCGTGCTGGGGAGTACAGAGGAGTCGCGGGCGCGCACGCGAAGCCCCGCCCCCGCCGTGACGACCGGAGACGCGACGCGTCGCCACGCAATGCAAATCGGGAAAAGGGGCTGAACTGGGCTGGCTTCCGTGGGGATAGCGAAGGCTAAATCTCCCTCGGGTTGTTGGGAGATGGACCTTTGGCGAAGAGGCCTGCGTTGATGAAGCGCGTTCGGCGCCACGGTGAGTGCGGGTCTGGGGCCTGGGCTCTGTTCCCTGGGAAGTCGTCTGCTGTAAACCCCCTTTCTTTCTACCAGCTGCTGGTCACCCGGGAGACGAGCCCGTCCGCGGAGAGGGGTGGGACAAGCCCGAAACATAGAACCGGCTTGTGGAGGAGGGGCCCAACCTCGAGTCTTGGGTTGCCCTCCGCGTTTCATGTGGTTTTTCGGTCTCAGAAGGTGGCCTTAAGCATTCTTCCTTTCTCCTGGACACTCAGACCTAACTTTGACCTCCCTCCTCATGCTTCCGTTTTCTGATTTTCTGCTATTTACCTACAGTCCCAGGCCTTACTACAGCCCGTCAGAGTGTTTCCCAGTTCCTCCTCTGCCACAGCGACACTTGCTTTTAGTGAAGTTCAAGTGTGAGTTTAAGGACCCTATAAGTTCATCAGAGTTAAATGTATGACTTCCTCAAACAGAAGCTTTTCTCCCCCTAAAATGTACCTTCTATCCTAGAGTTGTGAGACAAGTTAATTTCACCTCCACTCCACCTTGGAAATTATCAGAACCCTGAATTGCAGTGATGTGCATTTATACATAAAGCTGAGGACCACACTCCTGGGTTTATTTCTTGCCTCCAGTTCATTCTGTGACCTTGAACAAGTCACTTACTCACGAACGAAATATTTACCTGACTCACAGAGGTGTTGCAGAGCCTAAGGAATTTAATATTTGTGAAGATCTCTGAGAGTGTCAGATGAAAGGGATACCCAACTGAAGGATGTTACTCTTTCCGAATCTGCAAAGCATCCTTAGTTTTGTATATATCCTGCTGTGGCCATTAAAAATGCCAAATGATAATTATTAAGGAAGTGTTCCTGTTCTAGGCTTGCTCTGCAGCTTTGCTATGTAAGCAGATTTTGCATTCCAAGCAATTCTGTTTAAGATTCACTGTTGAATGTCATTCATGGTGGTTTTAGATAGTTTCTCATGACAACACAGTACTGGGCCAGGAAGTATACCAGGAAGGCGATGTCAATTGTCTCATGTCTTTATCATGTTCTGCCTTGAAATGTGTATTCCTTTTCTTCTGATACATTATGTGCATCTTTACTATTTGATACCTAGGATCCTACAATAGTAAAAAAAAAAAAAAAAAAAAAAAAAAAAAAAAAAAAAAAAGGAAAAACCAGACACACCTTTCATTAATGAAATTTTGCACATAGACATGTATTTTTTCAGAAAACTGTATGAGAGAAACAAAAATGCTTTAAAGTTCCCTTCTTAGCATTTAATTTTTAAATATATTTGTTTGAACTTTATTAATCATCACAGGCATTTGTTTATTAATGTGAACATAATGGGAAAGACCGAAAATGGCTTTTGTAAAGACAGTTGGAAAATAAAGCAGGCACATCAAATGTTTTTCATAAAATGCCTACCATTATATTATGAACTTTTCTACATGATAATATACTCATTTTTGTAGAAGTGAAAGGGGAAAAAATGTCCATTTAAATATAAGATGCTAGTAAAATTAGATCTTGCTATTGTCCCAGTTACCTATTGCTGCGTAAAAAATCACCCTAAAACACAGTGGTTTAAAACTATAGTTTGATATCTGTCATGTTTCTCTGGTCTATCTGAACTTAGCTAGGTCGTTCTCACCTAGGGTTTCATGCATTTGTATAAGTGGCTGGGGTTGGAATCATCCGAGAGCTCAACTGGGTGGGACATCCACGATAGCTCATTGACATGAATGGTAGTTGATATTGGCTGGGAGTTCAGCTGAGAATGTCAACCAGAGTGCCCACACATAGCCTTTTTGTGTGGCTTGGACTTCTCACAGCATGGTGACTGGATTCCAAGATACATGTTTGAAGAGACAGGAAGTGGTGGAAACTGCCAGTTTCCTAAAAGCCTGGCCTGAGATATTGGCACAAAATTGCTTCCAACAGTCTCTATGGGTTAGAGCAGTCAAGGAGCCCTTTCCCTTCTCCCTACCTTTAAAAGGGAAAAATATCAGACTTTGTGGCCATCTTCCACCTACCATAATTTTGGTGACGAAGTTGTATTGGAATCATGTTTAGATTTATGTAGCAGATACAGAAAAAGTTATACTTTTGATTTCTTTAACCATATTTTCATGGCATATTACAATTTTCAGAGCATTTTTCTGTCTGTATGTTTTCACTTGATACTGATGGTAACCCTGTAGAAGCAGACAGGTCATTCCTATTTCATTTTGCAGATGAAAGTAAACTGAGGAGTGGCAGTGGTGTTGGGATGATTTATGGACTTTGTTCAAAGTCAAATGATTAATAAATGGAGAATAAGACTAAGACCTACAGCACTTCCATAATATTAAATTTATTAATAGTAAATGATGAAGTGTTACCTTAAACTTATTTGGAATTCCACATTTATAACCATCCTAATTCAAGTAAAACAGGGCTCATGTACAGTGAATAAAGTCACTGTTAAGATATCTAAGCCTTTTCTCTTTTGACTGACACATTACAATTTAGTTTTTTGTTTTTTTTTTTTTTTTGGAGACAGAGTCTCACTGTGTTGCCCGGGCTAGAGTGCCGTGGCATCATCCTAGCTCACAGCAACCTCAAACTCCTGGACTCAAGCGATCCT